ATTTTATTAAGAAAAAATTAAAAAATTAGGGGGGGTCATGGCCTCTGCTTGTCCCTCCCCGTCTCCATCAGATGCAAGTTGAGTCCAGGTGATAAAAAGGTCAATACATATATATTGATATTACTCTAATTTATTTTCATTCATAAGTAATTTATAATATATTTTATTAAAATTTTTAAAAAAATAAAACTCATTAATTCTGTCTTAAAATTCAATAAAATTATTAACTTTATTTCTATTAAATATATAATAAATTTTCTCTCTTTAACATTCAATGAAAGGTAAAAGAAAAAATTTGTGTTAAAAAACTAAGAAGGTAACTTATAAATAGGACAAAAAAATTTGAACACAAGGAAAAAAGAGGTTACAAAACATCACATGCCAAGAATAATAAGGGTTTTAAAATCAGACTTATCATTGAACCAGATTAGACACTGACTCACAATTCATTAGTCGAATTAGTTGATATTAAGTTAATATATTTTAAATTTATGTATCATAATTAAATAAGAAATGCATGTAAATATTTATATTTTTCAAAAAAAATACTAATAAATGCTTCATAAAATGATCTATTGTTAATGAATATATGATTAATATTAATGATGAATGAAGCCTTCCTTTTAAAAATTAAGAAAGATATTGATAAGATGATAATGTTAGACATTTTTTGAATGCATATTTAAGTTGAATTTAAAAGATCAAGTTCAAATAATATAGATAAATAATAGAAAGTGTAAATATTAAATAGATTGTTTACATTGAAAATTTTTTCAAGTCTTCAAGATAATGTTTATGCAATTTTGGTCTTAAGAAAAAATGAGTAAACAAATGAAAGTGTATTTGCAATAATAAATAGAAGCGATCCTTGGGAGCATAATGGTGTAGAAATCCTAATTCAATAGTTAAATTGCTAAGGGAATACTCTCATAACCAGATATAGTTCAAGATCATCCCAGACATAACTAAAAAAGCTAAATATGCAGCCCTGACCATTGATAGTCATGTAGTGGACTAGATTAACATTATTAAGCTCTCAATGTATTATTGGTTAATTAGTTAATTTAGAATAGTACTTAAAACAATGTCTAACTAAGAATTAATTTCAAATTAATCTTAATTAAAACTTGTCAAGGCCTTATATGAAACTATGCAATTGTTAATGCCATGAACTTCCAATAATTCAACACAAATATGCATTAAACTATTGGATTTAAAAATTAAGTAACAATTTTAGTAATAAATTATCTTGACAACAAATCTCCAATCAAAATATCAAAGATATTTAATCAAACATCTTGAGTACAACTTTCCAACTTCACTACTTCAATTATGAAAAGAGAAATTATAAGTTGAACAATTAAGAGTTACTAAAGAGTAGAAATTCCCAGCCATTGATAGCGTTTGAATTCATTCCTCACTCCATCAATCCCTTAGGAATCGCGATGCTCTTAGCCAAGCATCATTTGTCCCTTCAAATCAGCTCCAAGATCACAAAGACACTCGGTCACCAATGGAAGAATGAAGAACACGATCGTGCTTGGATGAGAAATTTTGACCAAATGCTATTTCAAGTTTTTGTGCGGGGTGGACGGCGAGTGAATTAATAGATTTTTCAATCTGGAAAGGTAGGAATAAGGCAGAATCAAGGAATTGGAGATGGAAATAGAAAGAGAGAAGGAGAGAAGTGAAAAGATGAAAATGTGAAGTGAAGAGCACAATCGTGGAAGTAAATTTTGGAAGAGTAAATAAATGATCCTCAAATAAGTGGAGAGCACTTGACATGAGAGAAGAGAAGGCAATGGAATTGTAATGAATGAATTGATGAAAAGAAGAATGAAATTTGGACTCGAAGTTGGAGTGATTAGGGATTTAAAAAAAAATGAAAACCGAGAAAGCTAAGTGATATTTTGAAATGGAGATCATATGCTACTCTTTTTTAAATTTTTGAAAGCATAATTCCAAACCCAAGAGAGTAGTATATGATATTGAGCAACTGTACGATGGCTCACAATAATATGAAATTTTATAGTGTCTCATCTTACGGAAAACAATATTAATCGAAATAGCTTTACAATTAAAAAAATTTAATTCATAAATTCAAATCAAATATGAAAAATTTAAATGACTTAACTATTCAAATAGAGTTCTAAAAACCTAAATGATGCAATCCTAGTTAATTTAGGATTTCATATGGATTGATAATATCCTTAATAGATGCATTGTATCCTTGTTTAAATTAAAACAAAATAAACTAATTTTCTTAAACTTAAATTTAAAATAAAAATAATATAAACTAATTAGACTTATGGGCCTATGTGTCTTAGATTAAGCCCAATATGTTAAAAGTCTTTCTTTAATATTTTAGAATTTCATTTACCTTCAAAACCTTTTGATCATTTAGAATATTTCTAATTAATAAATAGAATTTCTTTTATCTTTATACCTTTGGATCTAATCATTGATCCTCTAATGTCCTGTAACAAATCAAAGGTATTAGATATTAAATTCTAACTCATCCTTTGATTCTCATCAAGGAATTTAAAAATCAAATGAAAATAGAGAAAGCGATATTTTAAAATGGAGATCACAAGCTATTCCTTTTTATATTTTTCAAACTATAATTCTAGATCTAGGAAATCAGTTAAAGGGTGGTAATTTCAAAATTGATGAAATGGAAAATGGAATACCAAGTGGAAATAGAAGAAGGTGGCAGCGTAGGAATTGGAATCGGTTAATAATTAGGAGAGGATGGAATAAAAGTTTAAGGAAACCAAGAATGATTTAGGAAAATATTAAAAATAAATGGAATAAAATAATAATAAATTGAAAATAAGAGAAAGAAAATTTTTCAATTTATCCTCTTATTTTTTCTATGTAGCCACCTTCATATAAAACAATAAAATCAATAGAAAATATATTTTAGAGAATTAAAAATAATATTTAATAAAATTTGAAAAAATATGTAATAAATCTCAAAAATTTCTCAAAATTATTCCTTTACCCTTTTACCACAAATATTACACATTTATTTCAATTTATATCAAAACAGGTGCTAAAAAGTTAAACCAAGAGAGGTAGAAGTGAATAAAATATATGAAATGCCTTCGTGTCTGGTTAAGAGAGCCACCCCAACGGAGTATTAAATAGTTATATTAAAAAAGTTTTAAGTTTGAATATTTTGAATAAAAAGAACTTTTCAAAGAAGTTTAATCCCAATAAAAATCTAGTTTGACAGCGTGCTATATACTGAAGCGTTCTAATTAAAATGTGGATGTCGTGTGTAGCATTTTTGCAGTCTGACTCGGTCATTGATGGCCCAAAGGTTTTGGGCCTGAAATCTGTTACATTGTTCGTTCGAAGGATCCATGACTCAAATTTCAGGCATTCTAATATTTTTTTCCCCCTATCTTCATAAATTAAGAGACTTCCCAATGTCTGATTGTGTTCATTGATAATAAAACTTACACATTTAACTACTTGGAAGGGATTAATAAAATTAATTTGAAGTAGTTTGTATCATCAAAATGATTAAAAAAAATTACTACTTGTTAATATTATCTTCCAATTAAAATTAGCCAATGCTCAAACTCAAAACTTCTGATTAAAAAATGAGTAACCCACAACTAATTGATCCAAGTGCCTAGGTTAAAATAAGAATTAAATGATACAATTTTTTTGTGAGTTGCTTTACATTTTAGACCCACATTTTTTTTTTTTACTCCAGTGCTCGGTATCATGACTCATGAGTATAAGCTAATTTAAATCCCCACTGTATGAACCATCATTTTACCAGAGACATTCTCATATTGATAAAAAAAACAAAAGTCATATATTTTAAACTGGATGCGTACGTTGTTTTTAAGGCCGTGGAAGTTCCGTTGAAGGGTTGAACCGTTGATGCCGATTACTTAGTTTCAAAGTGAGTTGGGTCAAAAGGCCCACTACGGGCTCAACAAAAGAGTCAGTGAACTTAAACCTATCAATAATCAATATTGTTATTTAAAAAACTTAAACCGATCAACATTATAGTCAACTCAAACAATGATTCACCAATTACCAAAACCAAATAATTAAATTCAAACAAAATTCTAAATACCCAAATCTTAAATTAATTGTGAGATTAAATTAGAAATTATATAAGATAAAATTAAAGCATTCTTTGAGTCAAACATGCGTTTTTTATTTTCAAAAAATCTAAAAGAAAACATAGTACTTACACTATTTAACATCTACATGAATATACATATTTTATTGAATAAGATACAGTAGAATATATTAACACCTAAAAAAACAATACAATACTAAAAAAAACTCATATATGTAATAATTTAGTTGAAAGAAGTCTACCATTTGCAGTCGGAGACATGTTATATATGTAACAATTTATACAACTACACTTATTTATTTTTAATTTAATTGCACAATGTTTTATTTCTATGATCAAAGCAGATAAGAACAATTACGTACCAATAAACCCTCTCCTTAAAGAAGCAGATGTCATTTAATCATTAAGTATCAATCACGGTGGGCATTCAGTGGATAATAAATTAAGAATATATTTTCTTATTAAAATAGGTCATTTTGTGAATCATTTAGTTTTTTGTTATTAAAGTTCTTAATTAAGTGGCTTTAATTTATTGGTGCTAATACGCATTCCCTAGTCTTAAATTTCGAACAAATAACGATGATAAAAAGGTTCCAAATCTCTCAAGTTGGTGTGAGGATAAGAGACAAAAGACAATTTGAAAAAAAAAAAAGAAAAAAAAGAAAAGCTAGAACATCGCACGAATTTGCCGCCCAGTGAGGGGATTCAACTCTTTGCCTCTGTCCCTTGTCTTGTCGCTGCCTTTTCACAGCTCTTTTATTTCTTTTTCTCTCTTTCTTTAATTTATATGCATGTATGGTATCAGTAATTGGGTTTATTAAACTTAATATATATATATATACACACACACTCCAGAGCCGAGACTACGAGAGGAAAGAAAAGAACACAGACAAAACCAGAACACGATTAGGCCTAGCTATTATAACTCAAAACACAGTAATTTGGCGCATTATATGAAATACACGAACAGGAGATAATGAAGCAAACAAAGGCAATTTTTAAAACACACACGACGACTCTTAAAATAAGAAAGTTCTGAACTGAAAAAAATGCATTCAAACAAGAAAAAGAGCTAGCACTTCGCATTTCAAGAACCAATAAAACTTCCATCTACCCTGAGATCATGACCGGTGATGAACTCCGAGTCGCCGGAAGCTAGAAACAGCACCGCATCCGCCACGTGTTTGGGAGTGAGGTCCACACCCTCTAACCTCGCGTATTTTCTGTAACAGTTTCTCAAATTCTCGTCGCTCATTTTACGTGCCCTGGTCGTCAATGGTGTCACAATTCCATTGGGTGACACGCTGTTCACCCTTATCCCACTCGCCGCCAGCTGCACACTCGCTGCCCGCATTAGCCCCACCACAGCATGCTTCGACATGCAGTAGTCTGTCCCCATCGGAACGCCGTGGCTGCCCGTCACGCTTGACGTGCACACTATGCTCCCCCTCACGCGCTTCTTCACCATCGCACGAGCCGCGTGCTTCACGCACGCCACCATCCCGCGGATGTTGGTTGCAAATAAATTGTCCATTTCGGAGAAGTTGAAGTCGAGGATGGTCTGGTCGGAGGGGCTCGCTACACCGGCGTTGCTGAACATGATGTCGAGGCGTCCATAAATGTTGACGGTAGATTCCACGAGGTGTTTGACTTGATCCTCGTCTGCAACGTTACAGTGGATGTAAGTGCACCTGTCGGTTCCGATGGACAGTGCCACCTGGTTGCCAAGCTCATCTTGGATGTCAGCGATCACCACCATACGGGCACCGTGATCGGCAAAGTGACGGGCCGTCGCTTCACCAATGCCACTTGCGCCTCCGGTGACGATGGCTATCTTGCCCGCTAGCTTGTTGAGGTTGTGATTCGAGGTAGATTGTGAGACAGCCATGTTGGGGAGGGAATCTTAACTGGGAGATGGTGGAGACATTGAACAGAGATATATCAATACAATCTCAGTTCTCATTCTTCCACCAACTGTGAACTTCTTTGTATACTCTCTGCTGTCAATTACAAGTGACGTCCAGCAACTATACTGAAGAATAAAATTTAATTCTTATTTAAATAAAAGAGTTTTAAATTTACATTATATTTTTTAATAGTATATTAAAAAAATTTGAATATGGGTAATTTTAAAAAATATAACTAATATCCTATGAGGTATCTTATGTTAAGAATTAAAAAAATTATCTTAGAAGGTGCCCTCTCATAGGGTTGGAGGAGTATATTTTAATTAATGTTTTGTTTTCTTATTTGTTTGCATTTCCTTTTTAAGGATAATTTCATATATTTACTCATTTATAAATATAATCAAAATTAATCTCCTCTTTACCTTATAAATGAATTTCAGGAGGGATGAGCTGCTTGGGGGACTTTTAAGCAGTGCCAGCTGCAACAACCAAAAAAAAACAAAGAAAGAAAGAAAAAGAAAAGTATTTAGTTGTGCTTCTAGAATTTACTAGGGTGGGGTAAAATAGGATATTGGCTCCGCGACTGCTGATCCCTGTATCCTTATTGTTAAAAACGTTGTCATACAAGTGGATTGTGGATCAGAAGCATCCATGTGATGCAGATGATGATGCCTTCTTTCTCCAACTTCAACTTGGCATTTGTCCGGCGTTTACGCAATTATTATGCTCCATCCTTTTTCTCCAACTTGTCCTTCTTCTATTAATTAGAGGATTCAATTATTGAATACGGTTGAAAATAATATTATTGATCGTGACGTTATTAGCCAATAATAATCTACATTTCCTAAACAATGACCACTGAATAAGAATAATCTACATCTCTTAATCACCCCAATGGTTGTGTTCTACAACACACAGAGTCTTGTGCTAAACAAAGCTCTGTGAACCAAATGTCATCCCCCTTCCTTAATTGTTAGATCGAATTAACTTTCCAAATTGCACACAGGGAGAAATATTAAAATGAATGTGGAGATACGTCTATTTCCATCGATGGACCATTCCAAGACACGTCCTTATCATCTTCATTGTATATGCAGTGATAAAAAGAAAGCAGGCCCTACTGACTTTCTTACACGCAATCCGCATTTCTCTCATCATCATGGCAACATACATGTATTCTTATAATAGTACTTCCTGTACACTGTATCTATTAGGATATACGATCTTATCAATGAATCCACTAATAATAGGGTTTGATATGATCCTTGCTGGACTTTTCTTTTGGCTTTTGCCTATTGTGTTTCTTTTTTTTTAAAAAAGTAGAGTTTTTGAATGCAGGTTCAATCATGTTTTCGGCATATATTCTTTTTAATTAAAATGGGAAGTATCAAGGGCCTAAGGTTATAAGTGGGGTATATTTGGGATCTTACACATCACTGGGCAACAAGGCTATTGGCTCCTAGGCCATATATTTAACCATTTATATATATATATATATATATATATATCTTGTTATGTCTTCAGAAGGCACGGATGCTCCGCATAAGAATTGAAGTTGGTCACACTCTGAACTTGGCCTTCTCCACCAGTGACTGGTTTTGGTGATTGCGTTGGATATCGTTTCACAAACCACTTCTCCGCAAGTGTGGAGAGACGTGACGTTGTGATACTAAGAATTGAAGTTAATTAATACACACAACTTTTATCGTTTGTGACGGTGGTGAAGAACTTTCGGCACTATGGCGTGTTTTCAAAGGACCCTTCTTGTTCTTCTAATAAATATCCTGCCTTTCCTTAATAATGTAAAGTTTAAATGGGTCAGATTTTGAGAGCTTACTAAAACCATGACATATTTTTAAACTCAAAAAACACTTATAAAAATACTTATAGATTGCCCATTAATAAGGTCCTCACATCATGAGTGAAATTTGATCTCACAATTTTTTTTTGGGTTATGGACTCAATTTTTATTAACTAGATCAATTCTTGTTGGTAATATCTTGTCTTTTTTAGTAGGAATGGTCTATGTTGCTCTTCACTATATATAGAAAACACTTTGTGATAGGAATGGTCTGTGTTGAATTTAAGTATTTAATTTTACTTTTTTACAAATTAATATTTTTAATTTATTATTGTAATTTATATTTTTAATCTACTTTATCAAAATTGTAATTTCAAGTTTAATATTTTTTCATAAAATATCATCATATCCAAAATATATATATATATATATATTTTAATCAAATTATACATATTTTTGTTATTATATATCTCAACTAGCTTTTGAATCAAATCATTCAGATAAATTTTAATTTGTTTAATTGACTTAAAAAAAAAGATATTCAAATATACATTATGTTACAGTCACAACCTTTAGTCATAACCTTAGTTTACTAATCTCAATTGATTCTAACTTTTGTCTGGAATTTTTTTTTTATCCAAATACACCCTAAATCTTTTTTGTTGGGTTGCAACTTGTACTGCTTAAATGTCCACAAAGAAGGTCCCTCTTGTGAGATACAATGTATATGGAATTATCTTTAAAAGGAAAGACAAAAAAATAAGAAAGAAAACATAAATGAAGGTAACTAGTAACAATTAAGGAAACAAAACATAGATGACCGTAAATAGTAGTAGTAAATGGAAAGCACAAAGAAGTTCAAGGTTTGTGGAATCGGAACTAGGATTATATAATTATCTTTGTTTGTTTAGTGTCTGATCATCTTTCAATTAAGATTCCCTCCCCCATCATGGCTGTCTTAAAATCTACCTTAAATCACAACTTCAACAACCTTTGCATGCTAGCTGAAAAGTAATCATTGTCACTAGAGGCACAAGAGGCAGTGGTGTAGTGATGACCTGTCACTTTGCCAATCACAGTACTCGTATGGTGATGAATGCCGACATCCAAGATGAGCTTGGCAACCAAGTGGCATTGTTCGTCGAAAACAACAAGTACACTTAAATCCACTATGAAATAGAAATCAAGACAAATACCCTATAGCCTTGATCATCAACATTTATAAACACCTCAACATCATGCTTAGTAATGCAAGTGTGGCAAGCCCCTCCAACTAGACCATTCTCAACTTCAACATCTCAAAAATGGACAATTTATCCATGACCAATGTCGACAAGATGGTAGCGTGTGTGAAGCACATGGCTCATATAATTGTGGAGAAGCACATAAGGGGGGAGCATAGTGTGCATGTCAAGCGTGACAAGCAGCCATGACATTTTGATAAGTACAGACTAATGCATGTTGAAGCATGTTGTGCTGGGGTTAATGTGAGCAAACAGTGTAACATCCTAAATTTTTAAGTTAAAACTTGAGTGTTTAAGAATAGTAAATTGGTCAAAATATGTAATTTATAAATTAATGGTGTTTTTTAGAATAATAATAAATTTCTTAAACCTTTGGACAGCTTTAAAAATGAGCTAAGATGATATACGAATCAATTGGGCTCGAGTGAGAAGTCAAAATAGCATATGGCACATGCCATATCATGTGTCACGACGCACGGCCAAATTCTAGCTTAAAACAAATGTGAAATGCATCTGATTGTGGAGAGGGAAAAAGAGAGAGAAATTGAGAGGAGTGAAGGAGGGACAACTTGGGGCTGTTAGGGCTTGACCTTAGGATCTATTTAGACACATTTGGAGCAAGATTCATCCTTGGGTAAGTTTCTTGTGTCTCTCCCTCTCCCATTATTCAAATTTTTATGACTTTAGAGCAATGTAGGGTTTGATTTCATCTCTCTTTTGGTTGTAATCGAACCCATTACCTTAATTAAGATCTTGGAGTATTAAATCAAGCTTCTAGACCTAAATTTATGGATTGTGATGTGATTTAGAGTTTATGGTTACAGTTTGGATGAACTCTAAGTGAAATTTGAGTGTTTGGGAGTAATATGGATAAAGGAGTGGTATAGTTTGAGTGTTTAGTGATAAATGGGATTGATCGAGTGTATTAAAAGAGTTGATATTGATAAAATGAGATCTTTGAGTATAATGGGCATCCAAAATTTAGTAATTTTGGGGTTTAATAGAGTGATAATTGATGATTATCGTTAGATAGTGTAGATTATTTGTTGCTATGCATGTGGGCCTTGTGGAGCACATATTTAAACTATGGTAACTTTTTTGTGACAAAGGGTTGAGATAACGAAATAATTTATTTTATTTGATTAAGTGCTTAATTGTTTGTGAGTAAATGTATAATTTTACATACCCATGTTTGAGAGTGTTGTATACTGCAAAATGAGAATTTTATGCATAAAAAATAATTTTAAAAATAATAAATTTTTAACAGTATTGTTATTTGTGTAATTGATGGTTTCCGTACAAATATGCAAATTTCATGAAAGAGTATGCATGATCATGATAAGGGGTGAGAGTTTGCCCATAAGAAGGATAGTCAAAGTTTATATAGCATTTATCTTCTTAGTTCCTATTGAGGTACGCGTTGGAGATTATCTCTTTAGTGCTTATGCAGGGTACGATGTTGAAGATTTATGCTCCTTAATATCAGTGTGATGTAATGGTAGAGTAATGACACCTCAAATCTTATATGATAGGGGGAAACCATGGTTAAAAGTGAGGTAAGACACTTTGGCCAAGTGATCCAACCACTGAAGGTAAGCTTGAACCATTGTGTATGTGTGCTTAGTCAAATAGAGCCTTTGGTTTTAATCGAGGTAATATGAAGGCTTGGATAGTAGGATAATCATGCTAGAATAAAAATAACATATGATTATGGGAATGTTATGTTTGGATATGCTAAACTGGTATTTTTTACCTATATGAGTTTTACTTATTTATAGTTGTGCATGTTAATTAATAGTTGTGAATTATTTTATTATTGAGATATTTATCTCATCCGTGGTTATATTTTATAGGTGAGGATTCTAGTAGGGATAAAGGAAAGGAAGGGACTATCGAGGAATGAAGAGTTTTGTTTGTATAGCTCTCCCCTTTATGTTTTAGTATTGTAATGAATAGCTTATAAGTTTGTGCCAACTTAAGAATTCATGTATATTTTAGGTCACTTGCATGGAAAATTGTGTAATGTGTGTATCTCGATCTAAAATGTTGTATCT